CTTATTTACGTAGATATGATAGAGGAATCGATTTTTTTACTGAAAAATGTGCTAGAAGTAGGTACGCCCAAAAAAGTTATGAATCTTTAAAAAAGAAAAAGACGTGTAGGTGGCGCCCCCTACGAGTAAGAGGAATAAGAACATCAGGTTCGAATTCGACACCTCAAAAACCTCCTATTACCAAGTTTCGTTTAATTAAGTTCAGTATTTCAAAAGTTATTTGAAAAAAACGAAAATAAAAATAAAACTTCAACATCCTGTATCTTGGAGACGAAGCGTTTCCGGACATTTATTTATTTGGACAATTCATATTAGAATATTGTGAGGAATCACCTCCTGAAGTTTGTCAAAGTACTTTTGAATCACCCTGTATGTATGAAAAAATTGAGAAATTCGTTTGCAGTTGACATTAAACAGCTGAAGTGTCACATGAGAAACATAAAACTAAAAGCAATGGGACATGAAGTTTGCAGGTCTGTAAGTTTGTACTTTTCAAGAAAAGTGTAACAGAAAATAATTTGTTTACATTTATCATCAGATTTTGTTTCATAATTACATGACGTCGAAATCAATGGAATAATTAAAGGAGAGTCGGCCTCAAAACTGAAAATGAATAAGAAAAGAAGACTGAGACTAGTGACAATCGAATGGTTCTGGATTTTATCACACACTTCATGATTATTATCAATGGAATAATCAAAGGAGAGTTGATCTCAAAGCTGAAAATGAACTAAAAAAGAAGACTGAGACTACTGAAAATTGAATGATTCTGGATATTATCACAGAACTCATGTTCATCCTGAGATAAATCCGGAGCAAGCACTTTTTCCAAACACCACAACTTCAATAATCTTCTCAACGCGCGTTTCACCAACCGAATTGGCGTCTTCGGAAGATGAAGAAAATTAAAAGACGTCAACTTGGTTGGTGAAACGAGCGTCAAGAAGAGTATTGCAGTCCTGGTATTGGGGAAAATGCTTTAGGTTTTTCATAATATAAACCGAAAATCGTAATTTCTTCAAGTTATAATGAAATTCCTCAAATCTAAAGAAATGTATTTGCATCTGGCAATCCTGCATTCAAAGCCGACAACTCATAGCAGCAACTACGTTTATAGTACGACTACAAAACAAGATAGGAATACCCGAATACAAAATCTCCTTTGATTGATTGTCCTAACGGTGAACATTCATCAATAGGAATAGCTGAATAGTGAAAGAAAATTATTCTAAGATAAATTTTGGCATGACGCAGTGAGTAAATGGTACTGATCGTAAAAAAGTAAGAAAATAATGAGCGGGAAGAATGAAGGAACATTTAAAGACTTAAAATTGAGCAGGATCGTAGTAGGTACAAAATTAAATATTGTCTGGTTTCTATACATCGCATTTTTTGTCTTTTCAATTTGTATTTTATTTTTTATTTTATATTCTATGAAGATGCAATATCTTGTTTCTGAAGCAGAAGAAATCTTAGTGATTTTCACTAGCGGTCGGTAGCTAGGCGGTTCGACGTGGGTGCTTTGTTCACTCACTCGAATTGACTGCCGTGTTGGTCGGTGGTTCAATTATAAAATCATAAATAAACGAGCTTTCTGGAAATTTTCATCTTGACCCTATGTACAGAAAAAGAAAAGTGTGCCTAAGAATGCTAAAGAATTGTTTTTTTTTCAATTCAAATTAACACTTCGTTTTCGTTTTCAGTTTTTGGTGAGGAGTGAGAATTAAACTCAATATTTTTAAAAAGATAGATAGTTGAAAACGAGATGAAAATGAAGAAGTGTATTAATACTCCCCATATTATTGATTCTTGTCGTTTTATTTATTGTGTATTGTGTGAGTAAATGTTTGAAGACAGTGTGTGTCGCCTCTGTTTGGAAAATGATGAAACAGCAGAGCACATACTTTGTGCCTGCCGCGCTGGGGACCGAATCAGGTTTTTAGAGTTCGACAGAGCCGTATTCTTACCATCTGACCTGAAATACCACTCACCATACAAAGTAATCGGCTTTTTTAAGAAGCTGGGTTTATTTGGCCAAGTGTGAAAAGGTGTGAGCCACAATAAACCCTTGCGGGTTGCGGTGAAGGGTTGAATAGACCCACTCACTTTTGACCTAACCTAACTTGTTCGTAGCAACATAGCATATTCTATTCATGTTATCAATGATAATAAGGCATATGCTTAGCATTGGCGCATTCTAAAAAACAACATGACAACAAGTATGTGCTCAAAATGTGAGATTGTTATTTGGGGTATACAATTGAATATTGCATTCATACTGCTCTGATAAAAATAATATTTTAAAGAACTTACGCTTTTAGTCTTCGTATATTTAGTAAAACACTTTTCTACAAAAGGTCTTGTCCTAAAGATCTTGTGAAAATGTCTGCTACATCATGACGGTTACCTGAAATAGAACGGATATATATTGTTGAAGCCTGGTCACAGTTTCAGAACGAGTTGAAGGAAATGGAAAATTGAGTCTATTTACGTGCTAGAAAGCAACCTTGAACTCTGGTATACCTACTCGTATATATTGATCATTATTAGCATTGTTAGTTATTTTGTGTATCTGTAACGAACTGCCAATATATCACCTAGATGAAGTTCGCTACTGAGTGTGAAGAATTTCACTGCATTGAAGGTTGTTTGGAAATGATTTGTGGGCTATATATCATAGCTCAGTAGTGAAATGCTTGGTGTCACTAATATGAAGCGAAAAAAGTTAATGTAAACATAATTCCACCACATATATAAACAAAAAATGGTGGATAGGGTCCATGAAGTTCCAAGTACACTAAAAGAATCAGGCGGTTGAACACACTCTTTGCTGTTAATGAAGAATTCTTCAAAGGAAGAGAGTTTTTGTTTCACTGTGCTTATTTCTTCTGAGGCTCTTTTACCTTCAGGTCAGTGACGGCTCGTGCATTGGAGAACAGGGGAGGCTTAAGTCATATAGACTATATACACACAGAAAAGCCCACCGGAGGCACGAACATTTTTATGTTGTTGCACGCTTTGCTTAATACTTCACACTGTCTATAATAAGCTCATTTTGGATGGTTTTTGAGGTGCCCGAAAAAACGCTACCGTTTAAAAAAATGCCAAATTGTGAATCATATTTGCCCCATAACACGAGGTAATTTTTATTTTAAATCGGAGTATCCTATTTTAGACCACGTTTGGTATTCGGTTTGTACGAAAAATAAAACACAGGGCCAACAAAAAATGTTTTCTCATTTAATGGAGTCGGTTAACCAATCGCATTTATGGTACCAACTAATATTAAATCCACGATTTTGTCGATTATCTGATGATTTAATTGAAATCAAATTTGGTTGAGGCCTTCCCAGAGTTTTAATAATGTAAAATTTATTATCATAAGATAAAGACTTAAAATGATTTGTCAGCAACCAATAGCTGCTGACTATATCGTCAGATTTTTTAATTTCGTCCAACTTATTCATAATAAATGAAAAAAAAAACTTACCGAAAAGTGAAAACCTGAAAACACCTTGAAATTGAAAGGAAACACTTCAAAAACACATTAAAAATATTACCAAAAAGCACTGCTATAATATAATACTGCCTGTTTTATACACAAATAACAAATATTATCAAGAAACACTAAAACGATTACCGGAATATTTTTTAGTCCCGGTCCGTCACGGTATCCCGTCCGAATAATGGAATAAAAAACGAACACATTCATACACTAACGGAGACCAACTGAAGGCAAGCCTCCTTTGACGCTATAATTTCTGCAACTGAAATTACAAATCGCGACGTATGTCGCTGGTTGGATCGTTCTCGTGGAGCCTGTGTTTTTTAAAGCGGTCGGAGGCTTGGCTCCCTTGCAACGTATGGCATTTATTATTTCGGGTTGATAGTTTATTCGTTATTCGTTCATGGGCGGTGCGTTTGAGTTTTGTTGATGCAGGATATAGTGTGGTACGTACTACGTAGTGAGTGATAGTGTTTTTTCGGGCAAATTATGTATTTAAATTAAAAATTAATGGTAAAGTAATGATACCCAAGCATTTTTAGAAAAAAATAATCATAATTATTTGTTAATATCTTTTAATTTATTGCGATGAATAGCCTCAAATTTTATGGGGAGGCTAAGCCTCCCTTG